AGGCTGTCAGCCCCAGAAAGAGGCTGGTGGGTGTTGCAGGACCAGGGAAGTAGAGGGAGGTGAGGGCGGGCCGTGTCTAGAGGCAGTGCTCCTGGGGCCCAAGCAAGGCACCAAGCCTGTGGGGGTGAACAGGGTCAGGAATCAGCAGTGGCTCCCCAGGTGTCTGGGGCCCCAAGACTAGGAATGGCACAGGGCCCAAGCTAGGAGTAGAGAACAGCGGGGGAGATGGAAGGGTGAGGGCGGCTGGCGGAGTCAAGGCGCAGAGGACTGCATGGTAGACTTACCCCCAGAGAGGCCTGAGGGCGGGAGAGTCCCAATATAATTTTTAAGAGTCCATATGTATAGTTAAAGGCTGCTTAACAAGCAACAATGCCAGATAGGAGATACTTTCTTTTGAGTTGTTAGCCAGGGTGGCCCAAGAGATTCCCAGACAGTAACCCAGCATAGAACTGGGAAAATGAACAGAAGACCCCCTATCTTATCTAAAGGAATATTCTCAACTGATTGCTGCTAGATGAGGAAGAGACAATCTTCCTAAAATGGGGAACTCTAGATAGGCTGACTAGGCTTAGCAGATGGACAAGCACTGGGGAATGGCTGGGGTGTCAATAACACAGTGGATTGTAACAGGGATGACAGAGTATATGGGCTCCAGTGGGGGTGGGGCTATGGGAAGGTGCCATTTGGGATGTGGGTAAATAGATGAATAAGATTCTTTTGGATGAACAATCTTCCTAAAATGGGGAACTCTAGATAGGCTGACTAGGCTTAGCAGATGGACAAGCACTGGGGAATGGCTGGGGTGTCAATAACACAGTGGATTGTAACAGGGATGACAGAGTATATGGGCTCCAGTGGGGGTGGGGCTATGGGAAGGTGCCATTTGGGATGTGGGTAAATAGATGAATAAGATTCTTTTGGATGATCTGTATGAAATATACACACAAAAAAATTTTTTTAATGAGTTATATTTGTGGAAGAAACATATAGTAGAGGTGAAAAACATTACCATTGAAATCAACCTGATGACTTCATATCCATGCTCAGGTGCCAAGGATCTCAGAAAGTAACCAAATGTGACCATTAATAAATAGAGATATAGTGATTAGAGATGCATGTGCAAACATCTAAGTGTTAATTGCACTAAAAATGAATTTTTCCTATATGAAACAGTATATTTGAAAATGAAATAGTGATCTTTTTTAAAGGCTAAAACCTCATTCAATTTTATGTCTTATAGGTTTATACTGAGTACATTATTGTATAACTGTATTAATTCAATTGTGAACCTAAAACTTTATAACCAATTATGAAAGAGATGCGTCTTGCTTTGGAATTTGTTATTGAATATGTCAATGCCGTTGTA